GAACAACATAGTACACCAATCACGCAGAAGGTTCACGGCCTGCTCATTGGAGCATCTGGTGGACCAAAGCATGAGGTCGTCTGCAGCTGAGCGGGCGATGAGGTGGATAGGTTGCAAATACTGCCTAAAAACTTTTGCATTTCTTATTTTCCAGATATTCCAGAGAATAGCAATGATGATCGTTGATCATGGTCTGTTGGCCAGGTCCATGACCAAAAGATGCTGAAAGTCCGACGGTACTGAAGCAGAAAGAGAGCTCAGTTCCTGCCAAAGAGGGCGAAGATCGGGGCATTGAAGGAATAGGCGACTCGCTGATTCAGAGGCTGGGCAGAACGGACAGCAGTTGGAGTCAGATATGCCCCTGTTGAAGCGTCTTTCGTTGGTGAAGAGTCGATTTTTATTGCGAGCCATAGCAAAATTCTGCATTTCTTGGGTGCATAATTCTACTAAGGGTTGTGGTCTGCGTATTAGCAACATGCCTCCGCGTCGTGCTGCGCCTGCGCCTCCCATGGTTCATGTTCCTGCGTTGGGGGTTAGGCCTACACGGCGAGCTGCACCTCGTAGTCGTCTTCTTGTGGAAGTAATATGTGCGGGTAGTAGAAACAATAACATAATGCATTATCTACAATTAAGTTTTGAAAAAATAATTATACAATACACCGTGGACTTGATACAAACGCACTTAATTATACATTACTCTTACACACTGAGTGACTTTCACACTTTTGACTAGGAACGTAAGATGGAGTATTTATTTAGGCTATTACATAAGTGGAGTGGTGACCAAGTGGAGACGATGATAGTGTAAGAAATAAAGGATGGTCACAACTGACAACACGTTCTAGCCAACTGACGACACGTCCCACAAGATCCTATGGGAGATGTGCATGTTATCAACATGCTCTTTAATTGTCAGATGCACGCTTAACCCATGGTCCACAGCATCTTCAGATGCTTGACAAAACCCACGGAACTGGAGGTCGTGCTTGCCTAGAACATGGCGCAGCGTTTTGATTTTCCAGAAGGACACGGGCAAAGTTTTCACCTGCGTCCCTCGCACATCCATTGTCTGGAGCTTCTTGAGTTTGCCGATGGTGTCTGGCACCGTTGTCAAGTTCGAACACCGGACACTGAGGTACTGTAGGTGCAGCATGTCCCCGATTCGATTTGGCAGCTTCTCGCCAATGTTGATGCCCTCCAGGCTGATGACGCGGAGGAATGTGGATTCCTTGAGCAGCTTCCTGAAGCCATCCTTGAAATCCTGTGGCCCTGCTGCATGATGCCACCCACAAAAAATAACCGGCATTAGCCGGATATAATATAGAAAGAGGCGGCAGGTATTTTTGAGAAATTTTGCTCTAGTACCTTGTGCACCATTGGAGGTGGATTCCTTGATCAGATGGTTGGAGCCGTCCTTGCATTCTTGTGACCCTGCAAAGTGCCACAAATACGATCTCCCATTAGCCCGTTAGCTCGCCTAATACGTAAAAAGGTGGTAGTTCTTGAGAAACGTGGACAGCACGGTTCGCACCTTCCATGAGCTTTGCATCATGAGCTCGACTAGGCAGCTTGGCACCTCCCATAATACCTTGTGCGTCATGGGACAGCACGGTTCGCACCTTCCAAAGCACCTTTTTTTTGTCCGGCATTTTGCAGTTGTTGAGAGCTAGGCGCCTCGCGCTGACTCTGACAGGAGGGTACCCACCACCATAGTGGGTTTCCATGAGGCCAATACGTTGCGCCTCGAACCTGAAAATAGGATGGACTAGGTCATGGATGCTAACTGATTCCACGACGTCCCCTTTCCTCTTCACCAGCTGCAAAAGGCCTCGGAAGATAAACTCCTTGAGGTAGCACTGACCCAGCTCCTCCTGTCCCACCCCAGGCTGCTGACTTAGGAAGCCCTCCGCCACCCAGAGACGCACCAGTTGCCCAGCGTCGATCATGCTGCGCTCCGGAAAACCTGCCGTGTAGTGCAAGCACGACCTGTGTTCGTTGGGGAGGTCATCAATGCTCAGGGACACTATCGTCATGAGCAGGTCGTCTTGGTTGTTATCCTCGAGGTACTTGGATGCTGCCTCCCACTTGCTATAGTCCATTGTCCTCATGAGTTTGGCAAGAAGAACCACCGCCAGGGGTAGTCCCTTTGTGAAATCTTCAATGGAATTACGGATCTTATTCTCCATAGTTGTCTTGTAAGCACTTTGCTTGCGCCCCCGGAGGCCCAAACTCCCGTGGAATAATATCTTGCTCTTATCTTTGAGCAGACAACCAAGCTCGATAATGCCAACATCCATGTCTGCAGCACAGGGACTAGAGGTCGCTATCAGCACAATCTTGCTACCTTCTCTGCGGGCCTTCAGCCAATTCTGTGCACTGAGAATGGTGCTGCTCATTGGGCAATCTACCACAATCAAGTACTTAACTTGGTCAACATTCTTCCCACTAGGTGGTTTGGAGAACTCAGCTTCCAGCTTTCTTTCTATTTGATCAATGATGTTGCTGGTGTCTGGTGAAAAGCTCGCCAACGTACGCACCTCAAATTTTTCCTTAATGGTTTCATTTTCACATGCTCTCTTTACCAGAGACCTTTTTCCAATGCCACCCTCTCCAACCACATAAATCACATGGCTTCCATTTTCATCAAGGAGGAGCTTATTAAATTCCTCTTCATCTTCCTTGTGTATTGCCACACCCTGTTGGTTCTCCTCCAAGTCTGTGTCGTCCCTGTTTCCGATTAATATTTATTAGCTGAAGCTACTAAACAAAAATAAACTATTGCTCTCTTTAAGCAACCGAGATAATCCACACCATCTAAATTATTTTGTACGTTTGAATTTAATTTATTGTTGAGATGTGTGTGCTCCAGAATATATATGTATGTATGCTACGATCTCAGATCATGCTCATAGTTATGTACAAAAGCCTGCTTGAATAGAGTAGTTTCCAGTAGTAGTACGAATAATGTGACAATTTACAAAAATACATTTTTTATGGCATATAACACATGTTTCTCTAGTCAAATTGAACATGGGCCTGACTTGTACTCCCGTCCAGAGGTAGTAATCTGTACTGTATGATTTTTTTGTGATTATTATCTGCAGCTTGCACAACTTTTGTGCATAACTACTATAATGTAATGTTTGGTTTGCTGGTTGCCATGTAAAGTGCAATCAGATAACTTGTCATCTGAACTTCCATATTATAATAAGAAATGGCGTTGGAGCCAAAGGCTAAAGTACTCCAATCTTTGGTGGTATGTTTAAGGATGTAATTTAAATGATGTAAAAAATGAATAGCTCCACTCGGGAGACAGCGCCAGAAATATTTAGTGCCGGCTAGGTCCATACGGAATGAAACAGATCGATCTGGATTATTTTGGTGGTAGTATCTGGTAATTTCTATTCTTTTTCTTTTTCCTTTTCCTTTTAGGACAACGAACCAACACAATTAGATCTTTTTTCGTCAACTTGAGAAATAGACAAGTGCTAGGAACATCACTACCTCTGTCCAAAATCTTAGGCCAAAGTTCAACCTTATGGATTACAAATTGTTAGTGAAATTGTTGGTCAAAGATGAACTTTGGCTTTAGGTCATGCCTTAGATTTTGGGACGTAGCGCGTATCTTTCATCACTTAAAGTGTTTGGTTCCTATTAGCATCACAAGATGACAATAAAATACATGCATGTTGCCACATGCACATGGACTGGTGGACCACTGATATATAGGCGTTTGCAGTGTAAATTAGAAAATGATCCTAGGCACAAATTAGGCACGGGTTCACCAATTACCAGTTTTGGCGGACCGGAGGGATGGCACGCGACGCCCTCCATGTGATCGCGTTTGTAGTTCCATTGTCGCTGCGATATTTGGCATTGTTGTCGACAATATCCTCTAGCCGGACATTCATGGACTTGATCTTCCGGGAGAGGATGTACCGGACGCTGATCTGTGTGCTGAAGTTAGAAAAGAAAATGGCAGTCACCCGCCACCATTCGACGCTGAAGCGGGAGAGGTCGGCCTCCAGGAAGAAATGGTCGATGGCGTCCTCGGCTGCGAAGGCAACCTCGCGCACCTGGCATGCAAGCACGCGGATTTGCTGGTTGCCATCTGACCCGCTGCGTAGGTCAGTCTCATGCACCAGTGCATGCAGCCACATGAGCTTGTCGTGGAGGCGGTCAATCTCATTGCCGACTGCTGCTAGGGCCTTCGCTTCCGTCACCGCTACCGCCTGCAGCTTGCTCAACAGCGGCCCAAATATGGCATCTGCCATCTCTCTTTCGCTCTCTGTAATATGTCACCAGAGCTTGATCAGCACAAATACTACAAAAGAAGCTATGACAACCCTGGGGTATGATTTGTGTTTGCTTCTCGAACTAGAACTGCACCCCCTTTTATAGGGAAAATGGAAGCAAAGACATCTGCTTAAGAGCACTTTTTTCTAACATCATTGTCAGTTCATTTATTGTACCCTCATTTCTAAAAAAAATTATGGGTTCTCACCACATCCCAAAATGCACATCTAAGGTCTATTTTTCTTCACTCTTACAAAAAAAAATTAGAAGTGCGTTCATCCATAAAACAACCACGTAAAAGAACATCCGCAGCCAAATCAATATCATTTATATTTTCCAAGGAAAGTAGCTCCTTATTAATTGTTTTATATTACTAGCAACAAATATTCCTTAAGGAAAACAATATTACAGATCCTTCTGTTTTTTGTACTTGTGTCAATCGAGGTGGATTGGGCATAGCTGCAGGAAGGCACTACAATCTTGAAGACGCCCGAGTTTTACCTAGGCAGCTAAGTCAAATGCATTCACACGGATGATAAATCATAATCGGTGTGCGAAAACAATGAAGCACGTACGGACATCATATGGATCACCAGAATAGTTGGACATCAACCGCATGTGTGCAGCTAGCAATCCATTTCATAATTAAGTATTCGTACTACACCACATGCGTGCAGCTAGCAATCTGTTTCTTCATTAAGTATTCGACCGTTTCTATGTTAGCTCACTACACTGGCTGTTCACAACCATGCATCTGTGACTACTAGCCATGGCTGTTCACACTAGCGAGACAAATCAGCATCATTTTCAATTTTTGCATGTAAAACCACCGGACTAGAAGTATCCATTGCTCGTGTGAACTTAGTAATAATTACTATCTCCGTTCCGAAATATAAGCCTTTGTAGAGATTTCATTATGAACCACATACGAGCAATGGATACTAGGTAGTACATGGAGCAATTAGTTATAAGTCTTAGTAATAATTACTCCATAATGTGGTTCACAAATGGAGTACTAGGTAGTATAAGCCTATATGTCTGCATGGGCAGGAAATTTCGACCATGTATAAATAGTAGTAAGTTGTTTGATGCCATTTGATGTATGTGAATATTCATTGGTATTAGAAATCTAGGTGAAATAAATTTGGTTGTGTGCATTTTTTGTTGCAGTGGCTGGGTAAATTCTTCACTTCCCATTATCCAACACGATACAAAAGAAACATGATGCGAAAGATTATTACTAAAGAAATATACTAATGGTTTGCCTTGGTAGAGAAAAAGATTACACTCCTTCAGTTCATTTTGATTAGAAGTCATATGTGTGCATATGTAAGTGTTGTCTACGAGGGGGATGCAACACCACATGTCACAATTCAACAGCCAGGAGGTGGAGCTCGGTAACCGCTACCATGGAGAGACGGGGCTGGAGGTGGGTTGGGAGAGCTCCGAGAAGAATGTCACAACAGACATATTGGGTCTAGGGGAGTGCCAAAAGGAAAGGGAACCTCACCGCAAGGGTGTCTCCCATGGAGCCGGACCAATGGTCCAACCAGAAGGCGGTGGTCTCGCCATTTCCGGCCTCTACCATAGTGCAGCTTCTGATGGAGGGAAGAACAGCCAGGAGGCCCTTCCACACGGGCGTGTCCAACCGATCAACCTCGCCAAGCTCCCGAGCAGTGGCACCGCACCAGCGGGCAAGGATCTTGGCTTCCTATACTACTCTTTACACAGGATCAAGTCTTCGCAAGGTGAATAAGTGAAGGACATATTCATGAAAACTCTAGTGGTTTAGAAGAATTGGGAATAAATTATTGCAGTGAGTTGGCTAGACCAATGTTTTAAATAACGAGCTATGCCAAATAGTGGGGCTGTAGCATGCTATAGCTGGTTATTAGCGGACTATTGTACATGAGTACCATTTAGCGGCATTGTGCTCAAAAAGGTATAATGACTATTTAAAACTATGGGCTAGACTCAATCAACTTTGAGCTATTTGATTCATTGGCATAGAGTTCCAATCCAAAATAGGAGATTGGCTCCTAGCATGGTTCAACATACATCTGGAGCACCAGATGAAGTTTTTGCATGGTCTGGTCGTGTGAACATTGCCGACCTACCGATAATGCTGCTTCACATAATGGATGAAGCATTTGTTGCAGGTTGTTGCTGGATGCCTACAGGAACGTGTCTATTTTTCATGATCATGAGCAGAAAATGTTGAGTAGAGCTGATGTTGAACAGCTACCAAAACAATTAAGGTCTCCTCGTCCTCTCAATGATAGCAGATTGACAGTATTCATTCAATGTGTGGCCTGGCCTTTGAGCTGCCTGTCGTGGTTCTAAGCCTGACAGTAGAGTGGGGGGTAGGTATGGAGAGGCAAGGTCCTAGCTATGGAGAGGTTGTAAGCACAAAGGATGTACGAGTTCAGGCCCTTCTCGGAAGAAGTAACAGCCCTACGTCTCGGAGCCCGGAGGCGGTCGAGTGGATTATGAATGTATGAATTACAAGGTGCCGAACCCCTCTGCCTGTGGAGGAGGGTGGCTTATATAGAGTGCGCCAGAACCCTAGCCAGCCCACGCAGGAGAGGGTTTAAGGTGAGTTAAGTCTGGGGCGTTACTGGTAACGCCCCACATAAAGTGCCTTTACTATCATAAAGTCTACTTGATTACAGGCCGTTGCAGTGCAGAGTGCCTCTTGACCTCCTGGTGGTCGAGTAAGTCTTCGTGGTCGAGTCCTTCAGGCCAGTCGAGTGAGTCCTCATTGGTCGACTGGAAGGAGACCTCTTCTAAGGATGTCTTGGGGTAAGTTACTTGGAACAGGTCCATGACCCTACCTAGGTACATAACCCCATCATTAGCCCCCGAATGGATTGAGGCTTCGAGTGAAGAAGGAGTTGATGTCGTTTCCGATTGACCTTTGCGCTCTAGTTGTGCGCTGTCCTGGACCAAAGAATCTCTTCGTTGACAGGGAGCAATTTGCCTTCAGCCGACTCGATCCATTCTGTTTTTGCGTCGAGTGATCTTTCGGGCTTCGACGATCTTCGAGCGACGGATCGCCGGAAACACCGCGTCTGACAGACTGATTTGTTGCTCGCGGATTCCGCGGGATGCGAAATTTGGGGGCGCGCGCGAAGCGGGGCGGACCGCGGCGTTCGGATGGGACGGGGCATAGACGCCTCGATCTCCGCGCCGCCTTTTTCGCCACGTATCCAGCCTGCATAACTGCTCTCAGATATGATTAGATCGACCGGGCCCACATGTCAGCCACTCGGAAGGGACCTTATAAATGCGCCCGACGAGGATTTCTGTGCTGCGCCCCAGCATTCTCCCTCTCTCTCTGCTTCCTTCTTCCCAGCTCAGCGTGCTCGCTCTCGCCCCCGCACCACTTCCCTTCGCGCATCTCTCCGGCGACCATGGCCAAGGAGAAGACGGCGGCGCTGGAGCGCACCAAGAAGGCGTCGGCGTCGGAGAAGGCGAAGGGGAGATCCACCAGCCGCGGAGGGTCCTCGTCCAGATCCCGCCTGCCGAAGGGCTGGGTCCAAGGAGACTGGATCCAGTCGACCATCAAAGAGAAGGACCTCCTCGACATGGCCAACGAGGGCTTGATCCCTCACGGAGCTGCGAGGTTGCCGGGGAAGGAGTGGCAGCCACAGCCAGAAGAGGGTGAGTGTGTGCTTTTGGCCACTCATGTTGATCGTGGGTTTTCCTTGCCGCCAAGTATTTTCTTCCGTGGCTTCTTGAATTTCTTTGGAGCGCAGCTTCACCACTTTACCCCAAACTCCATTGCCTATCTTGCTGCATTCGTGTCCATGTGTGAGGGTTTCTTGGGCTGTCGACCGCACTGGGGTTTGTGTTGGGTTTCGTAGTAATTTCAAAAATTTTCCTACGCGCACACAGGATCATGTGATGCATAGCAACGAGGGGAGAGTGTTGTCTACGTACCCAACACAGACCGACTGCGGAAGCGATGACACGACGTAGAGGAAGTAGTCGTACGTCTTCATGATCCAACCGATCAAGCACCGAAACTACGGCACCTCCGAGTTCGAGCACACGTTCAGCCCGATGACGATCCCCGGACTCCGATCCAGCAAAGTGTCGGGGAAGAGTTTCGTCAGCACGACGGCGTGGTGACGATCTTGATGAACTACAGCAGCAGGGCTTTGCCTAAACTCCGCTACAGTATTATCGAGGTATATGGTGGCAGGGGGCACCGCACACGGCTAAGGAATCGATCACGTGGATCAACTTGTGTCAACTTGTGTGTTTAGAGGTGCCCCTGCCTCAGTATATAAAGGAGGAGAGGAGGGGAGGCTGGCCGGCCAAAGAGGGAGGCGCAGGAGAGTCCTACTCCCTCTGGGAGTAGGATTCCTCCCCCCAATCCTAGTCCAACTAGGATTCCTCGGAGGGGAAGGGAGAGAGGGGGGCCGGCCACCTTCTCCTAGTCCTAATAGGACTAGGGGAGGGGGAAGAGGCGCAGCCACCTTGGGCTGCCCCTTTCTCCTTTCCACTAAGGCCCATGAAGGCCCATATGGCTCCCGGGGGGTTCCGGTAACCTCCCGGTAACCCGGTAAAATCCCGATTTCACCCGGAACACTTCTGATGTCCAAACATAGGCTTCCAATATATCAATCTTTACGTCTCGACCATTTCGAGACTCCTCGTCATGTCCGTGATCACATCCGGGACTCCGAACAACCTTCGGTACATCAAAATGCATAAACTCATAATATAACTGTCATCGTAACCTTAAGCGTGCGGACCCTACGGGTTCGAGAACAATGTAGACATGACCGAGACACGTCTTCGGTCAATAACCAATAGCGGGACCTGGATGCCCATATTGGCTCCTACATATTCTACGAAGATCTTTATCGGTCAGACCGCATAACAACATACGTTGTTCCCTTTGTCATCGGTATGTTACTTGCCCGAGATTCGATCGTCGGTATCCAATACCTAGTTCAATCTCGTTACT